TGCCTTTTTGTTTGAAGGTGCTTCTTTACAGCCGCTCCCCGAGCCATCTCCCTGCTCGCACACGTGGCTCCTGCTGCTTCGGTGGGTCCCGCGACACCTTGTGCCACCACCCTCAAGGCACCGTGAAGAAAAGCATCCGACTGCTGCCGGAGCTGGAAAACACACATCTGAATAATCAAGCTGAAGGTGCATGGCAAGAAACAGAGGCGTTTGCATTTTCCAGGAATTCCTGGAGCTACTTGTCCTCAGCTTCATGGGACATTTGTTCTTTGTACGATATCCCAGGGAGCAGCAAGTCCCGCTGGGGTCATCCTGGTTTTTAACGCTGTAGCAACAGGGAGCTGGGCTGACTGCTCTGGCTCCAAGCAGGCTGTTCCTAGAGGCAAACAAAGCAGCCCCCAAAATGAGGCTTCACTCGTACACGTTGCTAAAAAGGACAGATCTGCAAATGATCAGTCCTGTGTTTCATTGGCCACCTTGTATTTTTTTAAAAAGCGTTGTTTGCCAACTCTCTGGAATCTGCAGCTCCCATCCAACACGTACTTCACCTCTGGGGGAAGGTGGAGGCCTGAAGAGGCGATGAAACTGCGATCACCTTCCAGCAGAAGAGCACGTGCTGAGCAGAATGCGATAAATGCGTGTTTTTCTGGTAAGGGTCTACCCAAGACCGGTCCACTTTCAAAAAACCATTAATTTAAAATTACTCACTCACCTGCCGATTCACATGACCGCACCTCACGTATTCGAGACAGGTTCTGTTCAGCACCACTCGTGGTGTTTATGACTGGAGAGTGACTACCCTATCTCGATTTTGTTTTTTAAAATGCAGTTTTGAAATCCCTGTGCCGTTCCGGCTGAGCCCGTACCCGTTTCCATGGAAATAGCAGCACACAAAACACTGCCATATTTCAGAGCGAGCGAGCTGCTTAAACATCTGCTTCCCTGAAACCACCAGCAAGACTTCAAACCCAAACTGGCTCTTGCATTCAGCAGAACCGGGTTACACGGAAAAATCAAACAAAGTGTCTGCAAAGGCGGGCCCGGCCCAGCCCACCCAGCAATGCTTGTCCCTTGAAAAAAGCAGCTGCTGGGACCAAGGCACCTTTCTCCCATCTTTTCATCCAGTTTCTGTATCTGCTTTAAGAGCTTCACGGCACCTTTGTGATTCCACGCTGCTGAGAGCTCCACCTTGTCACCCAGCAGAAAACGCGGAACGGGGAGACAAGCACCTGCTCCTCACCGAAGCCAAACCTCCAGGCAGGGCGGCGAGCGAAGCCAAACCTCCAGGCACGGCGGCGAGAAAAAGGCAGCATTTAACACACGCTTCAGACCAGACCTACTTTAGCCAGGCACGATACCCTTCCAGCAGCCGCTTCAGCTGAATTTTAATACCATCCAATTTAACTGGAAGCAAAAAAAAAGCATCAGATGAAAGGGTAGAGCATAGTTTTACTGCACTGCAAAACTAAAAACTATTTCAGTCATTTATTTTTTTCTATAACTATTTCTGATTATTTCACTCTTTACCCTACACTTACTTTTTAAGTCCATAAAGAATAAGAGCTCCACCCTCACATACCCTGCAAACACACACCAGCCTGGGTTAAACTGGAAAATGGGGCTCCCTACTGACCTGACATGAAGGGGAAGAAGTGCTGTTGAGAAGCAACACGACAAATCTATTTACTCTCTTACGTTCTTCCACGATCCACATCTGAGCAACCTGTGGTCACCTGTGAGGTGCTGATGCTCAGCAGCTCCGTTCATTCTTAGCGGCACCGTGTGTTTTGGGAAGGGAAAACCATCACGTTTTATGAGGCTGAAGAAAACAGCACCTCGGGAGTAAAAAGGACGGTTGGCGGTAAAACCTCGGTTTCTCCCTCTGCCTCCAGCCCTTTGTCTCCCCTCGGTACCGGCTCCACGCCGTGCTCGTGGGGCGATGGAAGCGCCGGCCGCCCAGCGGCGGGTGGACATCGTTAGGGACGAGATGCAAACCCCAGGTTTTGGCACCGGGTAGAATAACGGGGTAATTGAAAACAGACCACAGGCCCTGGCAGCGGGGTTACTGGATGAATTGCTTTGAATGTGCTGCGAATTATCTGCATCCATTTCAGCACGGTGATCTCCACCAATTTTTTAATTAAGGAATAACAATGCTTTACAGCTTCAGAGCACAGTCCTAATTAACGCACAACAACCGTGTGAGGAAGTTCAGGAAAATACTTCATTCCTCAAACACCGAGAGCTGATACCGTATCAGAGACCAAGAAAATTCTTGCAATAGTCTCATTTC